TATATATATATATATTGGAGTATTACTCGGCAATCAAAAAGAATGAAATCTTGCCACTTGCAACTATGTGGATGGAACTGGAGGGTATTATGCTAAGTGAAATTGGTCAGTCAGATAAGACAAAAATCATATGACTTCACTCATATGAGGACTTTAAGAGACAAAACAGATGAACATAAGAGAAGGGAAGCAAAAAGAATATAAAAACAGGGAGGGGGACAAAACATAAGAGACTCTTAAATATGGAGAACAAACAGAGTTACTGGAGGGGTTGTAGGAGCGGGGATGGGCTAAGTGGGTAAGGGGCATTAAGGAATCCACTACTGAAATCACTGTTGCACTACATGCTAACTTGGGTGTAAATTAAAAAAAATAAATTAAATAAAGATAGGATGTATGATGATGCAGCCTCTTCCAGAAAAACAAAAAAACAAAAAACAAAAACCTGAAAATCTTTCCTTGTCAGCATTTTCTACTTGTGGTTTCACTAAAAGGTTGCACTAATAATGCCATTCTAGTTATTCCCAATTTTCTTCATTTTATATCCAGTCAGGCTGAAGAAAATTATGAGACTCTTTACTCATCCGGAAATCATGTTTGGAGTTTCCCCCTCATTCTCCCACCCTTTCACCCCTGAGGAGAGTGCCCTTGGTTTGAGAACCACTACTCAAGGATGATCCTTCTTGCTGCTGCTCACCAGTCAGCCTCCTGGCCCCACGCATATTCTCAGTCTAATTTAACCTGTATCCCAAAGGTAAGGATTTGGAGGTTTACGATTTGGCAAATATTAAAAAATGCTATTCAAGCCTAAGAGTACATTACTTATCTTAATGACTTATGCCATTTCTGAAACAAAAATAATACTGGTATCCTCTGTTACCGATAGTATAATTTATCCAACTTCTCTATTCACTTTAATCTGACATTTACATTTTTCAATTATTTTTTATAGTTCAAACTGCATTCCAGTTTATGTACATTTCATTCACTTTTTATATTAACATTCTAAAAAACATTACATTCTAATGCCAAATACCACAGCTTAAAAGTTAATAATCAAAAATACAGCATTTAAAAATTTCAAGTTTGATTTCAAATTAGCATTTCAATTTAGTATTAATGTCATACCAAAATAAAACACCTAGAATTAGTGGTTCTTTTGAAGTATTTTCAAGAAAAGAAGAACCAAAGCCAAAAGTTGCTTACTTGATTGTCTGCAGAAACCTCACTCGGTCATTGATCTCATCTGGGATCTTACTGAGAATTTGTTTAAGTGCTCGTGCCTTTTCGTTTAGGTCCTGGAATTCTGGCTCTGGTCGTTCAATCATATACTCTGACAAAATACATAATAAAAAGCATCATGCAATTCCCTGCCAAATTCAAGTACAAGAATTCCCAGTATTGGTTAAAGAGGTGTAGCAGAGTGGGGAGAGAAAGGCCAGATGATTAGGAAAGACAAGGCTGCAAAAGCAAAATTCATTAAAATTCAACTTAGTTCGGAAATAGTATTAGGGCCTTCACTCTACAAGTGAAGTATCAGAAGATGAAAGACCAAACATTTTCCATTTTGGGATAAACGGAAATCCTGTGAATCTTAAATAACTAAACAAACGTCTCAGTCAAGTTTATCAGGCCTCTGAAGCTATACTTGACACAGAAACCTTAAACCTTATGACATTCATAACAAATATAATGGCAACAGATATCTGTCAATGGGGTAGATGAGTTTAATAAAAACCTTTATATTTAATATATCAAAACCCAAACAACCTACTAATATCTTCAGCACATTCTTGAAATCTCACTTAAAACACAAACATAATTTACATTGATTTTTTTCCCCACTATCATCACAATAATAATAATAGTAAGGAAGGGAAGGAGAAGGGAAGGGGCGGGAGGCCCTTTTGTCAAATAAAGATCTGGAGGAAATGCTTTTCAACAAATGTAGGAAAAGTAAACAAGACTCTCTGACTACCTTCTACATCATCAGCTGCCATTCGAAGAAGGGACTCTGTGAAGTTAACTTCTACACTTTTTTTCTCTAAAATTTTCATAATGATGTCTTGCGTGAGTCCTGGATTTTCTTTTTCAGCCTATAAAGAAGAGAAAGCTAGTTTTAAAATACAGAAGCTCAGTCAGCATTTTAAAGCCAAAACTTAATCGTTTAGAACCTGCTGAGAATTTCTTTCAGTGATCAACTTATGAGGGCAGAAACCTTTGTAAAGTAGGTGTCCTGATGGCATTCACTTATGTTTCCTCAGAGCTTATGCACGAGGCTTCTTGTTACAGCCAGGGTCTCTTATGCCATTTGAACGTAAAGTACTTAACACTTCCTACTTCTCCTCTACACTCACTTGCAATCAAACTAGTAACAAAAATAGAAATAAAGGTTATATATATTTTGATAATCCATCAATTACTCTTTTCAGTAGCTTAAATATACTAAGGATATTTAGATTTTTTTCTCATTAGCTAATATTCCAACTTGAGAATCAAGTAATACTTATGTTACCAGTACTTTGCAGATCCTTGGCATTTAAATGAACAGTAAGTCAAGAAAAACAAAAATGAAACAAAAAAGCAGGGTTCCCTTTGCAGGTTTTATTTAAGCTATATAATCCCTTAACTACTTTCCCACATAATGATTTTCATTTCCTATTTTATTTTTGTAGCAAGAATATTTCCTTTTGTAGCAAGAATATTTGTAGCAAGGATAATTTACAGAACATCATTTCATTTCATCCTTTTGCTATCTCCTGAGCTTGTCTCACTAATGAGTGTATTGGTTCTATGTTACTTACATTCACCAGGGCACTAAAATCTTCCAGCCATTTCAGGACTGAACATAGGAGTTCTGAGCTTATCAAAGTTAACTTTCTGATTTGGGTCTTTCCCAGTGATTTTTGTCCCATTTTACTATTTTTAAAAATTTTGTAATGACATTCTAAGTTTGTTTTAAGATGCCTGTCAATTTGAATCATTGTGCTGATGATTTATCATTTTTGCCCAATATTAAATGGCAAATAGAAACACCATTTATGATCATAATCGGACAGCGATCTATTTACTTCCTTGTGTGTCAAGCACATTTAACCTCTGCCTTTACAATTCCTTTCTGGTATCACTGCAGATCTAGCTTTCTTCTGTTCCTATGCTCTTTCCATTATAACATCTTGTTTTTCAAGTACCAAACACTGAAAGGTTTTCGGATGGAATGAGAAAAGAAAATATGCACATTTATCTCAATCCTGGGACCATTTTAACTGCTGTCGTATGCTACTTAAGGAAGTCATTTTCATAGATGATTAATAACAATAAAGTGTATCCTATGAATTCATTCCCTTTATAACCTGTTTTGGTTTTTCCTTCCATGAGTATATGTAAGATAGAATCTATTTTTAAAATACAAGGCTACCTTTTGAAGAAAAAATGTATAAATATGGGTTAAGATGGAATCAACATTAATTTGGTGAATTGTCACAAAATCATATATACTATGTAAATAAACCAGTATTTGATAACAGTGGTTTATCTTCCTTCTCTGAGTAGCATTAAATTGCCTATATAATGCATTGTTTTAGGAGGCAGGAGCGCATTCCCCATCTGCTCACAAAAAGTTTCAGCAGGAAGACAATCTCTGATTAAGTTATAATACGGTGCCAAAAGAACTAAATGCTGACAGTCTGAGAATAAAGTTTCCAACATCAAGTTGGTCTGGAAACTGCCCAAACTGGAGCATTACAGAAATCTTGCAGAAGTATCGAGCATTCTCAGTTCACAAGTGTTCTTAGTGCTAAGAAATATACTTTAATAGTGCTATGTATTAAGTAGTTAGGTTCAAACAACTTAATAAGTACTTGCGTTCTTCTAACAATGTAGTTGTCTTTAAGAAATACATAAATTGAAAGAAGAATATTTTCTTTAATTCTTAAATAACCAAGATTACTTGCTACTGAGATATATGCACCTGTTGGGCACTGCACAATTCTCAAATGTTGGAATCAGATTGGACCCTGCCCTCATTTCCTGTTGTATATTGATTTTCTTGTGGTACCTGCTTTTTCTCACAGCAATGGCCAAAATTGCAACCTCATAAAGATATGACATCATTGAAAGGAATAGGGCTTAATCTAGTGTGTTGGAATTGCAAACTACTTCAAGCTAGCATAGTTCACAGGGTCTAACAGATGTTTAGCATCACTATGTTCCTTTAGATGTTTAACATAACTCATGGCACCCATCTGAGTTTGCTGTGGGGACGCAGGGTGCCTAGGCACATAGCTTAGGAATTACAGTCTTAGTATCTTCTGGCTGAAATCCTAATTAAGCTACTTACTTTTAATTTTAAATGCCTTAAATCTACCCAATTCTTCTGACTGACAAAATAAACAGATCTATGCTTAAACTGGTGACTTTATCTATCTATATCTTCAGGTCTGCCACAGAATACAACCTTGCATTCTATGGTTGTCCAATTTTTATAAAGAACCCAACTATGACAGGAAACTATCCTCAAAGGCAGTAACATCCACTCCTGTGATTCAGTGATTCTCAACAGCAAAACCTATCAGAACTTTCCAAGAGGAAAAAGAACCAAGGAGAACAGGTATCTTAAAAGATAGTATTTATTAGTATTTCATCTTGGGAGAAACTATTTTAATCCTTTTTCTTGTGATAATAATAAAAATAAATATTAAACCTTGATAGATGACACTGTGTTGTGGTCAAAGAACTGGAAACATAGGCATATATATTATGGATATTAATAGGGATATATGGGTGAGTGAGGCTTTTAAAATCTTTTTCAGGGGCGCCTGGGTGGCTCAGTCGGTTAAGCATCCGACTCTTGATTTGGGCTCAGGTTGTAATCTTGCAGTTTGTAAGTATGAGCTCTGCATGGGGCTCTGCACTGTCAGTGTGGAGCTTGCTCGGGATTCTCTCTCCCTCTCTCTCTCTGCCTCTCTCGCTCTCTCAAAATTAATAAACTTAAAAAAAATTGTCAAATAAGTTCTAGTTTTAAAAACACAAAATCTTCATCTTTTTAATGCATGCCCTTTTAATTCCATTTGAAATTTAACAAATTAAATTTGCTCAGTTGATTAAGCATCTGACTTTGACTCAGGTCATGATCTCAAAGTTCTTGAGTTCAAGCCCCTCCTCGGGCTCTGTGCTGACAGCTCAGAGCGTGGAGCCTGCTTTGGATTCTTTGTCTCCCTCTCTCTGCTCCTTCCCCCACCCCTCCCCACTCACAATGATGGTCTTTCTCTCTCTCTCAAAAATAAATAAACATTTAAAAAATTAACAAATTAAATATATAATGATAAAATCAAGGCAAACTAATTTGTTTTCCTCTCAAAATAACTTCCACTTTCCCCAATTAAGAATCAGTGCCAAGGCTAATAAAATTTATCCATATGGTAAACCAGATCTATCATAACCACATACTTTAAACACAGTTTAAATTGTACTTTAGTGTTAAAACATCAGATTATATAGAAGTATATTAAAAGAAAAAGCTTAACGAAATTATTTTGTCTCTTTTAGAAATAACATTGAGGACATCATCTACTACTTCAGACAGAGTCCTCTTTATGATGAGCAGGAGAAATTTCTCTCTGTTCTTGCTATCAGAAAAGCTGAAAAACGGACTTTTGCCTTATCAATACTATATTGGTTTTTTTTTTAATTTTTTTTTTTACATTTATTTATTTTTGAGAGATAGAGTGAGACAAAGTGAGAGTGGGGGAGGGGTAGAGAGAGGGGGAGACACAGAATCTGAAGCGGGCTCCAGGCTCTGAGCTGTCAGCACAGACCCCGAGGAGGGGCTCGAACCCACAGACTGTGAGATCATGACCTGAGCTGAAGTCAGACACTCAACCGACTGAGCCACCCAGGCGCCCCTCAATACTAAATTGTGAAATAAGTTGCCTTTCCTTCCCTTCTTTGGCCACATTGAAAATAGTTAGAAAGTCAGCTTAAAACAGTTTCCATCATGCCTCCCTAATGACTAAATATGCCATTCCAAAACCACACCAAACTCAAAGAAAAAAAGAAACACAACACTGATGGTGTTACTTGATTCATTTTCTTCATTAACCCAATGATTTGTCAGAACATATTTTAATTAAGCTACTACGTATACATATACAGGCAGTGCATTTTAGAGTATTAATCACATCAAAATAGCTCTAATCTAATACATACAATGTAAATTCTTATGGTGAGGTAGGAGAGATGTCTAGTGACATAGTCTATGCTACCAGTTAAGAGTGGTATCGATAAACTAATCTTTGCCATGAAAAGAAATCAAGCTGGATGGCATTATGGTTTTATTCAAATAAAACTTAACTATACATTTTTTTCTAGATTTAAACATTAAAATACTTTACCTGAAATATAAGTTATCTTAGCTACAGACAGAAACAAATACACACAAAGTAAATAAAAATGAAAGATTTGGGCACCCTGATATATACCGGGAAAGGAAGGGGGATGAATAAAGTTTTATATGAAAGACTGCACCCAATATGTAGAATAGGGATGTCCAACAGAAATATAACTCAAGCAACAAATGTCATTCATTGTAATTTTAAATTTCCTAGTGGCCACATTAGAAAAGTAAAAAGAAATACATGAAATCATTTTAGGAGTACAACCAAAATGTTACCATTTCAGTATGTAATTACTATAAAATACTTATTGCTGAGTTATTTTACATTCTTTTTCTTGTACTAAGTCTTCAAAATCTGGTGTATATTTTATACTTGGAGTACAACTCAATTTGAACCAACCATATTTTAAGTATTCAACAGCAACACGTGGCTAGTAATTATTAAATAGTACGTGGCTAGTAATTATTTGTCTCCAAATCTGGAGACAATGAAAAAGTTGACTCTAAGTGACTCGACCGTATAAGGAAAAGGTATCCTTAATCTGACCTACACACAGTTCTTATTTTCCCATCAAAAATACTGTTTTATACTTAGGTTCTGTAAGTAAGCAATATGAAAAACATATTTTCAAATTATAATTTTACAAAAAGCTTTTTTTTTTTTTTTTTTTTATATTTTTGAGAGAGAGAGAGAGAGAGAGGGAGAGAGAGAGGGAGAGAAAGGGAGAGAACACGACCGAGCAGGGGAGGGGCAGAGAGTGAGGGAGACCGAGAAACTGAAGCAGGCTCCGGGTTCCAAGTTGTCAGTGCAGAGCCCGATGCAGGGCTTGAACCCGCGAACTGTGAGATCATGACCTGAGCCAGTCTGTCGCCCAACTAACTGAGTCACCAAAAGATTTTTATCAAGTCAAATAACAGGAAAAGAAATTGAAAATATACTCTAAAGCTAAAGAGAAGAGACTCCAAAGAACTTAGTTTCAAAAGCATAAAAGTGATAAAAAGATGAATGCTAAGGAAACAGCATTTGTGTCAATTCACTTTTTGGAAGTGTTTTAAGCTTTAAAGAGTACACTAAAACAGACCTGAGATAGCCTAGAGGTTTTCAGTAGAAGGAAATAAAGTGGCAATTATCACATGATATTCAGATTTATACGTAACATACATTTTAATCATAATAAATTATGTGCACCTCACCTTAATGAAAGCTGCTCTCAGTGTCTGAGCTGCAGACAGGTTTACTCGTTCTAGCTGTAATAAAAATTTTAAATCACTGTTAATATCAATTTTCTTAGAAAAGCACATTTCTGATATTCCACTCTATAGTAATCACACTGATACATCCATCATTTGATTAACAAAAACACTTGCTAATTATTCTAAATCACCATAATTCTTCAAATACACAGGCTATCTAAAATTTTCATTAGAGACCATGAGAAATTAAGGAATATATAGGAGTTTTTCACTGAGAAGAGAAGAGAAGAGAAGAGAAGAGAAGAGAAGAGAAG